ATCTTTGAAATAAAGGCGCGAGGGCACGAATCCTCTTGAGGTTTTTCATACCTCATTGAGGTCTATCTATCACCAAAAGATGGGATCTAAATCGCTTAATCACCTAAATATGTTCCCTCGTGAGTGAAATCAATGAAACCACACCAGTTGACGATACGTGGGAGCAGATAAAATCCTCAATCTTAGTATCTGCTAAAGAAGTAATTCCAAAAACACAAATAATCAGGAAAAAGAGATGGATGGATAATGATATCCCAGATTTGATGGAACAAAGACGACTCAAGAAATCGAATCTAATTGAGTATAAATTGATAGGCAAAGAAATCAAAAAGAAATGTTCAGAAATTTAACATAAGTTGAGTGTGAATACAAAATACGCTCACCAGAAATCAACGAAATTACTGGTAAAACAAGATGCATCAGCTCAGGCTGCATAAAATCAAAAAGTGGAATCATCCTCATGGACAAAGCATGATATACTGTGCAGATGGTCAGAATACATAGAAGAAATTTTCGAAGATAATAGAGCTTCCAAGCCTACTATAAAGAAAAACATAGAAGGTCCACCTATAATGAAAGATGAAGTAAGACAAGCTATTAAATTAATGAAAATAAACAAAGCAACAGGCCCTGATGGAATATCTGTTGACATGTTTCAATGTCTCGAGGAATTAGGTGTAGATGTCATAACAAAATTCATAAACAAAATATATGACACAGGTGAAATGCCGGAAGATCTAACGAAATCAATATATATAGCTCTTCCAAAAAGGCCTGGTGCTACTGAATGTGAACTGCATCGGACAATCAGTCTTATAAGTCATATGACAAAAATTCTACTCAAAATTCTGATGATGCGTCTGAAAAATAGGATCAATTCAGAAATAGCAGAAGAACAGTATGGTTTTCACACCCGATAAAGATACTAGAAATGCAATTTTCGTTCTTCGAATGATAATCGAAAGATCCATAGAAGTCCAACATGATTTATATCTATGTTTCCTCGACTACACAAAAGCATTTGACAAAGTCAAACACGATAATCTATTCCAAATTATAGAAAAGCTAGATATCGGTGGCAAAGATATGAGACTAATACGAAATCTATATTGGGAACAAAAAGCAGCCATAGAAATAAATAATGACATCAGTCAATACACAAAGATCAAGAGAGGTGTTAGACAAGATTGTGTTCTATCCCTAGACCTCTTCAACATCTATAGTGAAATGATACTCAGAAATCTAGAAGATGTAGAAGGATTAAAAACAGGAGGATATAACTGTAACAACCTCAGATATGCAGATGACACTGTACTTATAGCAAGTACTGAAGAAAATCTACAAGAAATGATTGATATAGTTTCAAGAGAAAGCATAAAGATGGGACTGTCACTCAATGTCAAGAAATCAGAATGTATGAGTATATCAAAAAGTAAAAACTCGCCCACATGTAACGTATACATCAATGGAGCACCAATCAAACAAGTTATTTGCTTCAACTATCTGGGATCTACCATAACATCAGATGGAAGATGTGATGAAGATATTAAAAAGAGAATTGCTCTCTCCAAACAAGCATTTCAAAAAACGAGTCCAATTCTGAAAAATCGATCCATATCGATCAATACTAAAACCCACGTTCTTAAATGTTACGTGTGGTCGATTCTGTCATATGGATCTGAGTGTTGGACAATCAGTAAAGAAATGGAAAAACGCTTGGAGGCTACCCAAATGTGGTTCCTCAGAAGAATGTTGAGCGTACCTTGGACAGCCAGAGAAAGCAATGAATCAATATTAAAAAGAATGAAATGGAGAGATGTTTGATATATACCATCATTTATAGGCAACTGAAATTTCTTGGTCATATAATCCGTAAAGGTTGCTTGGAACATCAGGTATTAAGTGTAAAAATCAACGGGAAGAAAGACAAAGCCCGACAAAGAATCAAGTATCTCGAAAACATGAATTTATGGATTGAAAAACAAGGTTATGAGCAAGTGGACTTTCTTCACGCAGCGCTGGACCGGAAAAATTGGCGTCTCATGTTAGCCAACGTCTGCAACAGATAAGGCACTCAACTGACTGACGGTGTAGATAAGACTATACATTTACAGATGACCTTAAAAGCAAATGGAAAATTTATCATTTCGACAGTAATGCACCTTTTCGACTTCGTTATATCGCTTCTGTAAGCCGGTATCATAACATAATATTATTCAGCGCTGCAATTCAAATGAAGTAGGTCTGGCGTTTCGCAGCAAACATGTTTTTAGGCTTGATTTATAATTCTCAATACCACAAAATACAAAAACTTGTTCACAGAAATTCTGCCTTATTTCACACTATATTCCTTTAAATATAAAAGTATCTGAGTGAATCCGGGAGAAGCCGTTCACTTTTTGTAAAATTTTATTTTCGAATAAGGTCATTGAAAAAATCTTCTTTTCACGATTTTTTAGCGACTCAGGCTGATCCTTGATGACAAAATAGCTAAGAAGTCATTCTCAGCTTTCTTTCAAGCGAAAATCGCAAACATATACAATATTCTTTCGAAGCATCCGTTTTTCGATCAACTATTATGAAATTATTATGAAAAAAAATGATCGAATGACATGAAAACTACCCATATGTTCCGAAAGATTGCTATTGATATATGTAATTTCCGTCTATATGAAGTTTGAAAGTCACTCTATAGCTATTTTTCATGGAGGATCCACCTGACGCGCGAAAAACCTTTAAAAACATTTTGGAAAAAGTGGATGGCTTCTCATGGATTCACCCAATGATTAACTTATGGTGTGTGGACGTGAGATCGTATATGTACACTGTAAAAAATAAACGCAGCATACAAAACCCTGCAAAAGGATATATTAGGTACTTAAATACTTCCACATACCCTTTTCGCCTAATTATCTCCATAAACCCTCTCGTAAACCTTTATAGCTAATCAACCCTGTGAAGAATATTTGATACGTTGTCCTTTCGCATACATTCAAAGTATTGGAGTACCGTCTGAACCCTGTAGGATTTTTAAAATTCATAAACCCTTCATAAATTCGTTTAGTGGTGCATCGTTTGGAACTGAATGATGAAGAGAAAACGCTTTTATGTATGAAAATGCAACTTATCTAATACCCTTCACAGGGTTGATTAGCTGTAAAGGTTTACGAGGGGGTTTATGGAGATAATCAGGCAAAAAAGGCCATCTGAAAGTGTTTAAGTACCTAAAATTCTGTTTGCAGGGTTTTGTATTCTGTATTTAGTTTTTACAGCGTACTGCCTACTACTCTGCTGTCGTATTTCTATTCCCTGACAGTCAAGCAAAAATTGAAAAGTCATAAAAATTCAGTTTCATAATTATAGACTCCATAATTCAAAACGCATTTCTTAGACTGTGCAGACTGTCTAGACGCTGATTTCTCAAATATTTCTTTGGTACAGGCTGAATACCTTCCATCTCATGTATTTTGCGTTGCCATTCAGAAAGCTTTTATGTCATATTACCTCAAACTTCTATAGTGACTAACTGTCTATGAATTTTAATAAAAGTTCATTTATGGATACTTTTGTCGTGACACTTATGAGCTCAAAACCACTCTAATATACGTTACTTCGCCAGATGATATCATTGTACTTGAAATAAAGCCCATAAAGGCCAATTTTTATGAGTTAACCGCCGGAAGTACCATGCGAGCTCCAAGTATGTGCTAAATGATAATGTAGCAACTTATTCATTACCCCTTTATGAATACATACGCCATATTATGGTAGTTTTCAAGGTCGTTGATTCGGAATGAACATCGATCATGCTTGTTATAATTTTTGCGAGTTGTTTAGAGCAACGCGATGTCCTCTTTCTAACTATGCCATTACATTCGCTTCATTGAATCAAGTGACCGTAGAATTTGAGGATTTCTTCAAATCTCTCATATAACAATCAGAGCTCTCATAAAACTTATCGCGGTTAACTTTGTAAAACCACTCTTCACGGGTTTGGTTTCAACCGCAACGATATTTTATTGATAACCCACATATATTAGAGTGGTTTTGACTATATAAATCTCATGACAAAAGTATGTATAAACGAACTATTATGAGAACTCATACACACTTAGTCACCTAAAAATATAGAGGATGCGAGGTGACTACTGATATAGTGGAATCCTGGAGTAAGTGGACACTTGAATAGTTGAACGGATGGTTGAATACTTGAGTTCAACTTTCAAGTTTGACATTACTGCACTCATCACGATCATCTTCAAAATCAACTGGTGATACTTATATGTATTTCGACTTACTGCTTGGCCTCCAGGAGGACATATCGTTTTTTCAAGGATCCCCCACATTTCTGTCAATCTTGGGTAATGCCCCGATTGATGGAATCCACAATTGTAGTTGCTTATCATGTTGTTGGATACAAGTGGCATATACCCAACAGATGAATTGAATTGATTTTCTAGTCGATCTATAAACCAGCCCGACAAACCGGTGATGGTGGTACCGGCCATGGCAGCTTGCGTAAAAAGGGTGTGATCAGCGACTGTATCATAGTTTTCAATAATATGATGAAGATACGTCGCGCCTTCTCGTCCTATATTTGGCAGTTCAATGATATTATTTACTTTCAAAATTTCTTTTAATAGTGTTTTATTCGTTCTTGGGTTTTTAGTATATACTATAATATGAAGATCAATATTTTTGAAAGTCTTCAGACTTTTTAGATGGGTGATGTATCGTGCGACAAGACCAGGATTTTCTGCATAGTAGTTTAAGACAACATCGAATTTCCTGTGCGGAAGAGTGGAATGCATATGGAGAGGAAAGGTTTTCTCGTTATTAATAAAATGAGTTTGAATCTCATGTAGCGGTTTTTGTTTAGGATAACAGCGGACCGCATAAAAGATAGCAACAGCATTAGCGACTAGTAACAAGAGAGAAACTATCAGTCGCATCCTGCTCTTGGAAACATATTGCATTCGCCACCGTGACATTATATATCTTTGTTTGGGTTTTGATTGATGCATAGTTAAATTACACAAAAAGGTATTTGATATGTATGTTGGGTAAATAAAACAGCACGTATGTGAATAAACGAAGGCCACCAAGAAGTAACTTCATATGAACGAGTACTGATTTACAGATAAAAACTACTAGTTTGCAGCAATAGAACTCTATGCATCGTTAGTTAGGGGCATAATACATCTGGACATGAGCAACTAACTTGGTATGCCAACACCCTAAGATAAAAATGGTGCATTACGAAACATATGAAAATGGTTTGCTAGGTGCCCACTAACTTCCGAATGAGGTAATATGTTGAAATAAACGCGGAAAACTTCGTATTTTATACGAGAGTAATATATACTGCAAAAAATGTATCACATAGAATACATAAGGTGTCATACAGAAATGTCAACTCAATTTTTAATTATCCACGAATCGCTCATCCGATCAGTCTCATATTCGAACTGTAACGAGATTTTGATATATTCAAACATCAACAAAAATTTCAACTAATCCACATTTGCCTCTCTAGAGTTATCGTATAGGCGAACGAAGGACACTGGCCAATTCTACAGTTATGACAAAAGTATAGATGCCTCTCACATAGTCACACAAAATTGTTTATTCTCTTTTACCAGCAGCCGATTATGGTCAGTTACTGGAATGTTAGCGTGGCTCCATATATGTATTAACTCCATTATGCAGACCATTGCTTGTGGACTCTATGTCGGCCACAAGTCCGAATAAAGAAGGAGTGTTAGACGGAAGGGGTGCAGATATCGCCGTTTGTAAAAAGGTCAAGACGGCGGAAACTAACCATGAACGGCTCGAACGGCGCTTGACTAAACAAGGTTCGCGTCCTCTGTTGAGTGACCAGGGCAGAGTAAAAAAATTGGCGACTAGAAAGACTTCAAATACGGCGAAAAGCACACAAAAATCTGACGCTTGCCAAAAGTTCTTTGACAATTGGAACATTGACTGTGCAGACTCATGGGCTGCTGAAAAATTGGAATTATTGCGAAACGAAATGAAACGTTTCTCATAGGGTATAACTAGTATTTCCGAAGTGAGATGGACAGGAAAAGATGAAACACCGAACGGAGATTTCATCTGGGCAGGTGAAGAAAGTGCACACATAAGGGGTGTCGGTTTCTTATTAAGCGCACAAGCAAAAAGGCATTGACACATTCGACCCAATGTGGCCCACCGGCGGGCCACGCTTTATTTTAACGAAAATCTGTGTAGAAAAGTATTTTCTTTTGATTTTGTGTGAACGTTAAGATAAAATATACGGGGTCAACTGTGTTGTCTTTAGTATTTTATTTGAACTCTTTACTCCATAGCATAATGCTTATTGTTAAAACACCCGAGACAAAAAAATTTCTCACAGTCAGAACAGAAAGTTTGCGCTTCGAATGATTTGCTGATTGTTCTCTTGGACGGGATTTAAACTTCTTCATTGACGTGTCAAGCAGTAAAGACCGGACAAGACTTTCTCGAAACTGCAGAATGGCTACTTTGGTTTCAGTGTGATTTTCCTTATATATCAAATAACCATTTACCAATGCCGTCCCGAAAACCAATTCGAGTGCCACCTTGCGGTACTATTTCATGGATTTTCTGAGACATGTGTAATATGTTAATAGTTGGTCAGATAGATCCATACCTTGGCTTCCTTGATTGTAATCTAACATAACTTGAGGCTTCATGATACGCTCATTTTGGTAATTTGTTTTTCCACTATCTGCTACAGTTGATGAATATGATGGGCTTGTAGATATCATCAAGACCGTTCAATAGTTTCATTACTACTGTTTGTGTATGTCCGACACCTGCTGTCACATCTTGCTCGCCAGTATAAGTCATATAATTACAAACATAACCATTCGTTGCTGCTATAATTTGTACATCTTTACACCGTACGTGTGTGCTTTCTTAGGTATATATTGTTTAAACAAAGGCCGGCCTCGCCATGGTATCATACTTTAGTCAATAGTGACAGTTGAACCCGGTATATAAACTGATCAAAATCTCTCTTTCAATAAGTCTAGAGGTGGCTTTAATTTGAACAATCTATCTTGATTCGCATTCTCCTTATTGTTATCCGCAAAATGCCAAAATTCGAGGAGTAATTCAAATCTCTCTGTTGGCATGGTATTTCGAATCATCTGCGAGTCATATAATCGACTAGAGCTCTAATAATAGTTCAGCTTCATCATTTGTACTACTCCCATTTCGAGAATTATTCCAAAGAACTTGAGCATCTCTGTATTCGTTGTTGGTTTTTATTGTTGAAGCGTTGATCGTGTACTGAGCGTATAGATTAGTTTCACGAACCATGAGGTCAATAATTTCGTCTGTGATGAAATGACGATAGCAATCAATAGGATTGACTGCTTTATCTTCCAAAGTTGAGATTACATCTTCGTTAAGCTCGTGTTCTTCCAAGAATTCTGCATTAGACTTTGGTTTTATTCCGTCGCAGGTATGTGAAACTATTTTATCACCTTCATGATCAGAAACTTCTTCGTCAGAATTGTCAAAATCAAGATTCATTGTATCCAACTCATCATTCAATGAACCCAATTCAATGAGTGAGCTAGTACTATCTTCTGTATCGGTTTCGTCGAACTACATGTGAAATGCTTCAAAAATTCGATTGTATTTATGCGCAAAACGATATAGAGGAAAGAACAGGGGAAAAAATGCTGGAAATTATCTTTTTTTCTCGGACACGAATGATATAATATACATAAGAACGAAGAACTGACTCGGATGATTATTCATTTGTTCGGTAAAAGACGACTCATTATATGTTGGTATAGACAAGAGAACAACAAATAACCAGTAGAATACAGTCAAAAGGTCATTTACTGCATTTGTGAGATAATGACTATTTACGTAAAATAAATTTTATGAACAAATTTTACAGAAAACTGAATCGAGTCGAATGTGCCGAGTTGGAAAAGTCTTTTGACAGGAGGGTATTGTCATATTTCCAAATAGACTTCTGTTAGATAGTAGCATCTCTTGAACGCCTCTTTTACCTCACTCAGGGTCTCTCCCTTTTGATTAGACACAGAGTATTAGACGACGCAGATGGAGAAAAGAATAAAGAGAAGGTCTTGTTAAGTTGAATCTAATAAGTTACTAATGAATTTTATACCAAAGGAAAGCTCATCAAAAATGGGATCTAGTGGTATGATTGGTCATTCACAAGATTATAACAGACTTCAGAAATATTAAAATTTTCTACTTTTAAACACTTATTTGAGCGATTTCGTGGGATGATTCACCATCAAAGCATAAAAATCTCATGAAAGGTTTCAGTCTTTTAGGTTTTGCAGAGCTCACTTTGTTGATCATTGTCATTAAAAAGTTTTGAAATTCAATGAATAAAGTATGGTGTTAAAGTCAAAATACTGATAGTCTCTGGCTGTTGTGTTCTATAGAACAAATATGTTTATGGCGATATTCACTCTAACATCATTATTTATCGATTAAGTTTCAAAACGTTTTTGTGAAAATGATCAGCAAAGTGAGCTCTACAAAGTCTAAAAGGCGGAAAGATTCCATGAGAATTTCATGTTTTGACAGTGAATCATCCCATAATATTGCCCATGTGTTTAAAAGTAGAAACTTTGAATATGGCTGAAGTCTGTTATAATCTTGTGAACGACCAATCATACCGCTACGGGTCAATTTCTCTAACATGCGATGTATGCGTGATATGATTTTTCTCATCTAACGGGTTTCCCTTATTTGGCACGTTCTGACGTACCTTGATATGGTGTCTTCTTGCGTTCTCTTCTGTATGGACGAGAATATAAACGCGCGTCTTGCACCAGAACGATGTGATTTATGAGGAAGAAATAAATATAGACGTAGCTCCATCAGCGCATACATATCTTCCATCAGAAGCCGTCACACACCAGATCCCATCTTTCGCGAGCTTTTATTTGGTACCAAATTCGCTAGGCATCCTTTTTAAAATAATTATACTACCTTTCTACCAAAAACATTTTTCCAACCTAGTATAACCCATATAATGCTAGCATAGTTTATTAGTTATCATATTCACAACATCTGCCGCATAAACTTCGAATGCACACAGATCTCCGGTGGGCGTATGAGGAGTAGTGCTAGCTTGCTCCCTCCTACGAAAGGCTCCTGCCCATCAGACGTTAATAGGTGGGACGTAAGGTGACAGACAGCTAGAATCTGTATCGGTTCGGTTAGTGTATGTAGTTGTCATACCTCGGTGTTGAGGAAGTGAACGAGGTGATTCGAGATCTTTGTGGTGACGTTTATTGATAAACGATGAGGAAAACAACAGGAAGCGACTAGTGTCGACCACAATTCAAAGACAACTGCCTCTATGTTCTTACAAGTTCAAACGAGGTCAGATAGGTGGTAAGAACAAGAGAAAACTAGCGATCAAAACACAGAAAAAAAGGCACGCAAGAAAAAGTTAGCGATAAATACGCACTAACTGTTGTCCCCAACAATTTGTTTTTTTTGTCGAACATCTGCCGGTATTAACTGATATTCTCTCTGAAACTGTACTTTCAATTGCTCGCTTCGGTCCCATTGATGAATAAAAGCATAAACAGATCCATTTTCGTTTTTTACTAATCCAAATTGATTTCTTTTTACAATCGGTGCATAACCTAACGTGCCAACAAAACCGTATTCATGCAATATATAGTGGATTGAGACATTGACAATTTTATTAGTATAGATTATATAATTATGAATCCCTTGATCACTGCCAGGATACTTCTTACAGGCATTTGGTGCGTTTATTATATGAAATTCCATCTTGGATAAATAAGTTAAAACTGCATACCAAGTTCCAAGTACTGTACCGGAACAGCTAATTGAATTATTCGATATTTCTGTCAGTGCGGAATCATTATAACATTTTTTGATCCAACCACTATTGATACCACATTTACCAATTGTCATATGTATGCTTTCCATAAAAACTAATAATCCAGGACTATAATTAGTCATATATTGAAAAATATTTGTTTGAAATAATCCATCACGCGAATCACACATAAATACGTTCTTATACACTTTGCGCTTTGCTTCTAAAGTTAATAAATAATTACGAATGATTAACCACCGAACAGAAGAAGCGAAAGGAATATCCGATCCATTTAATCGCAAATGTTTTGGAAAATATACTTTTTCAGATATAAAAACAATTGAATAAAGCTTTGCTAGTTGCTTAAAATCGTCATTACGCAGCGCTGAATCGGCGACAACCACTACCAAATGACAAAAGTTACATGAAGCCCGTAAAGATCTTGAGAAACGATATACTGCCGTTAAATCGAAATTGATAGCTGTTGTAATTACTAAATTATGATGCGATAAAATCGTTGATGATTGAGGGTCTTCAGAAACAGACAAATTTGTCACATCAGTTTCAAACTCTTTGTTTGAGATAGCCAACGAAGACCCAATCAAAGATGCGCATCGAAGACTTTTCTGTGGTAAACTACCAAGATATATTCCCAAAACAAATATCATAACAAAATTTATAACATACGTAAATCTATACTTCATTTTCATTACAATACATTCACTTCAGATAATTCTGAACCAAAGAATATAATTGCATAAAACTTCGCCTCTCGTGAAATTGCTATCTAATCATTTTCATAGGTATATTATATGAAAACAAGTAAGTTTGCCCGCAAATAAAAAGTCGAGCACTGTTTTGGGATTTTGTTGAAAGCTACATATTCTGATATATTTCGTTGCGCTGATTCCGAATATCACCTTTGTATTGGGTTTTGATCAAGATTTGACCGGAAAATTTTCAAAATACTGAGAGCTGTAAAAACACATGAAGTTTACGTTATCATACGAAAATTTGAAATTTCACCCTCTTCCATTCACTGAAACTTTTTGATTGTTACATATTTGGATTCCTCACCAAAAAGTGAGTATAATCATGTACTTTGGAGTCATAAAAAATAAAATAACTGTGTTCCATAATTTTGGCAAGAACAGGTACTCGACGAAGTGAGTAATCTCCCGTGTAGACTTGTCTCCTCCTTGGTTCTGAAACTTTTCCTCGGTCATGGTACGCCATTCGCACCGTCATTTGAAGCTGAACAAAAGTACGTGTCACTTTTTTCAAAAAGTTCTTTCCTCGTGAAGATACATGGATTTTACTGTTGAAAATATGAACAAAAAACACATTTTCTCAGAACTGCTCTTTTTTTCTTTTATTTTTAGTTTCATATTTGCCTTGAGGCTAAAAACGATGCAGAACACGATAGACATATCAATTGATGCCAAAAAAAATATCCAGTAGATTTCCGACACTCGGGGTCTGAAAGAAATAGTGAGTTTCGTTATTCCGTTTACCATTATTCACAGCACTTATAGTTTTTACCACATACTCGATGTGAAGGGGAAGAAGAATAGGTTACATTAAAAAGATAAATAACGCTCGTCAAGGGAGACTCGCATTACCCTCGACTGATTGGGTTATACTTCAGATAAAACTTGCGCTTCCAAATGATGTCTCGAGAACGGTCCTCGTCAATTTCAACCTTTTTCAAAACTAACCAAAGAACTGTCGTCGTTCTTGTTATTTATGTAATGTCCATTATTCATGATCATTTTTCACACATGAAACAGCAGTCCCCTATGAATAGCTACTATGATCCTTGCGTCTTTTAGTAATGCGAAACTCAAAATTCTGACTCAACTATTCAACTATTTTTGCAATCTTTTTTTCAATTATTTGAATATTCGACTGCTTTCAAAACTCTTCTGTTCATCNTGATCAGAAACTTCTTCGTCAGAATTGTCAAAATCAAGATTCATTGTATCCAACTCATCATTCAATGAACCCAATTCAATGAGTGAGCTAGTACTATCTTCTGTATCGGTTTCGTCGAACTACATGTGAAATGATTCAAAAAATTCGGTTGTATTTATACGCAAAACGATATAGAGGAAAGAACAGGGGAGAAAATACTGGAAACTTTCTTTTTTTCTCGGACACGAGTCATATAATATACATAAGAACGAAAACCTGACTCGGACGATTATTCATTTGTTCGGTAAAAGACGACTCATTATATGTTGGTATAGACAAGAGAACAACAAATAATCAGTAGAATACAGTCAAAAGGCCATTTACTGCATTTATGAGATAATGACTATTTACGTAAAATAAATTTTATGAACAAATTTTACAGAAAACTGAATCGAGTCGAATGTGCTAAGTTGGAAAAATCTTTTGACAGGAGAGTATTGTCATATTTCCAAATAGACTTCTGTTAGATAGTGGCGTCTCTTGAACACCTCTTTTACTTCACTCAGGGTTTCTCCCTTTTGATTGGACACAGAGTGTGAGACGACGCGGATGAAGAAAAAAATAAAGAGAAGTTCTTGTTAAGTTGAATCTAATAAGTTACTAATGAATCTTATACCAAAGGAAAGCTCATCAAAAATGGGATCTAGTGGTATGATTGGTCATTCACAAGATTATAACAGACTTCAGAAATATTAAAATTTTCTACTTTTAAGCACTTATTTGGGCAATTTCGTGGGATGATTCACCATCAAAACATAAAAATCTCATGAAAGGTTTCAGTCTTTTAGGTTTTGTAGAGCTCACTTTGCTGACCATTGTCATTAAAAAGTTTTGACATTCAATGAATAAAGTATGGTGTTAGAGTCAAAATACTGATAGTCTCTGGCTGTTGTGGCCGATAGAACAAATATGTTTATAGCCATATTCACTCTAACATCATTATTTATCAATTAAGTTTCAACACGTTTTTATGAAAATGATCAGCAAAGTAAGTTCTACAAAGTCTAAAAGACGGAAAGATTCCATGAGAATTTCATGTTTTGACAGTGAATCATCCCATGAAATTGCCCAAATAAGTGTTTAAAAGTAGAAACTTTCAATATGGCTGAAGTCTGTTATAATCTTGTGAACGACCAATCATACCGCTACGTGTCAATTTCTCTGACATGCGATGTATGCGTGATATGATTTTTCTCATCTAACGGATTTCCCTTATTTGGCACATTTTGACGTACCTTGATATGGTGTCTTCTTGTGTTCTCTTCTGTATGGACGAGTATATAAACGCGTGTCTTGCATCAGAACGATGTGATTTATGAGGAAGAAATAAATATAGACGTAGTTTCATCAGCGCATACATATCTTTCATGAGAAGCCGTTACACACCAGATCCCATTTTTCACGAGCTTTTATTTGATATCAAATTCGCTAGGCATCCTTTTTAAAATAATTATACTATCTTCCTATCAAAAACATTTTTCCAACCTAGTATAACCCATATAATGCTAGCATAGTTCATTAGTTATCATATTCACAGCATCTGCCGCATGAACTTCGAATGCACACAGATCTCCGATGGGTGCATGAGGAGTAGTGCTAGCTTACTCTCTCCTACGAAAGGCTCCTGTCCATCAGACGTTAATAGGCGGGACGTAAGATGACAGACAGCTAGAATCTGTATCGGTTCGGTTAGTGTATGTGGTTGTCATACTTCGATGTTGAGGAAGTGAACGAGGGGATTCGAGATCTTTGTGGTGACGTTTATTGATAAACGATGAGAAAACGACAGGAAGCGAGTAGTGTCGACCACAATTCAAAGACAACTGCCTGTCTGTTCTTACAAGTTCAAACGAGGTCAGATAGGTGGTAAGAACAAGAGAAAACTAGCGATCAAAACACAGAAAAAAAGGCACAAAAGAAAAAGTTAGCGATAAATATGCACTAACTGTTATCCCCAACAATTTGTTTTTTTTCTCGAACGTCTGCCGGGTATTAACTGATATTCTCTCTGAAACTGTACTTTCAATTGCTCACTTCGGTCCCATTGATGAATAAAAGCATAAACAGATCCATTTTCGTTTTTTACCAATCCAAATTGATTTCTTTTTACAATCGGTGCATAACCTAACGTGCCAACAAAACCATATTCATGCAATATATAGTGGATTGGGACATTGACAATTTTATTAGTATAGATTATATAATTATGAATCCCTTGATCACTGCCAGGATATTTCTTACAAGCATTTGGTGCGTTTATTATATGAAATTCCATCATGGATAAATAAGTTAAAACTGCATACCACGTTCCAAGTACTGTACCGGAACAGCTAATTGAATTATTCGATATTTCTGTCAGTGCGGAATCATTATAA